CTGCCTGTCCACTGACTGCTGATGTACTGGTATGTACTGCCTGTCCACTGACTGCTGATGTACTGGTGTGTACTGCCTGTCCACTGACTGACTACTGATGTACTGGTGTGCACTGCCTGTCCACTGACTGACTGCTGATGTACTGGTGTGTACTGCCTATCCACTGACTGCTGATGAACTGGTGTGCACTGCCTGTCCACTGACTGACTGCTGATGAACTGGTGTGTACTGCGTGTCCACTGACTGACTGCTGATGAACTGGTGTGCACTGCCTGTCCACTGACTGACTGCTGATGAACTGGTGTGTACTGCGTGTCCACTGAGTGCTGATGTACTGGTGTGTACTGCCTATCCACTGACTGCTGATGTACTGGTGTGTACTGCCTGTCCACTGACTGACTGCTGATGTACTGGTGTGTACTGCCTGTCCACTGACTGACTGCTGATGTACTGGTGTGTACTGCCTGTCAACTGACTGACTGCTGATGTACTGGTGTGCACTGCCTGTCCACTGACTGACTGCTGATGAACTGGTGTGCACTGCCTGTCCACTGACTGACTGCTGATGTACTGATGTGTACTGCCTGTCCACTGACTGACTGCTGATGTACTGATGTGTACTGCCTGTCCACTGACTGACTGCTGATGTACTGGTGTGCACTGCCTGTCCACTGACTGACTGCTGATGTACTGGTGTGTACTGCCTGTCCACTGACTGCTGATGTGGTGTGTACTGCCTGTCTACTAACTGACTGCTGATGTACTGGTGTGTATTGCCTGTCCACTGACTGACTGCTGATGTACTGGTGTGTACTGCCTGTCCACTGACTGACTGCTGATGAACTGGTGTGTACTGCCTTTCCACTGACTGACTGCTGATGTACTGGTGTGTACTGCCTGTCCACTGACTGACTGCTGATGAACTGGTGTGTACTGCCTATCCACTGACTGCTGATGTACTGGTGTGTACTGCCTGTCCACTGACTGCTGATGTACTGGTGTGTACTGCCTGTCCACTGACTGACTGCTGATGTACTGGTGTGTACTGCCTGTCCACTGACTGACTGCTGATGTACTGGTGTGTACTGCCTGTCCACTGACTGCTGATGTACTGGTGTGTACTGCCTGTCCACTGACTGACTGCTGATGTACTGGTGTGTACTGCCTGTCCACTGACTGACTGCTGTTGAACTGGTGTGTACTGCCTGTCCACTGACTGACTGCTGATGAACTGGTGTGTACTACCTGTCCACTGACTGACTGCTGATGAACTGGTGTGTATTGCCTGTCCACTGACTGACTGCTGATGTACTGGTGTGTACTGCCTGTCCACTGACTGACTGCTGTTGAACTGGTGTGTACTGCCTGTCCACTGACTGACTGCTGATGAACTGGTATGTACTGCCTGTCCACTGACTGACTGCTGATGTACTGGTGTGTACTGCCTGTCCACTGACTGCTGATGTACTGGTGTGTACTGCCTGTTCACTGACTGCTGATGAACTGGTGTGCACTGCCTGTCCACTGACTGACTGCTGATGTACTGGTGTGTAGTGCCTGTCCACTGACTGCTGATGTACTGGTATGTACTGCCTGTCCACTGACTGCTGATGTACTGGTGTGTACTGCCTGTCCACTGACTGACTGCTGATGAACTGGTGTGTACTGCCTGTCCACTGACTGCTGATGAACTGGTGTGTACTGCCTGTCCACTGACTGCTGATGAACTGGTGTGTACTGCCTGTCCACTGACTGACTGCTGATGTACTGGTGTGTACTGCCTGTCCACTGACTGACTGCTGATGTACTGGTGTGTACTGCCTGTCCACTGACTGCTGATGAACTCGTGTGTACTGCCTGTCCACTGACTGCTGATGAACTGGTGTGTACTGCCTGTCCACTGACTGACTGCTGATGTACTGGTGTGTACTGCCTGTCCACTGACTGACTGCTGATGAACTGGTGTGTACTGCCTGTCCACTGACTGACTGCTGATGAACTGGTGTGTACTGCCTGTCCACTGACTGACTGCTGATGAACTGGTGTGTACTGCCTGTCCACTGACTGAGTGCTGATGAACTGGTGTGTACTGCCTGTCCACTGACTGACTGCTGATGAACTCGTGTGTACTGCCTGTCCACTGACTGCTGATGTACTGGTGTGTACTGCCTGTCCACTGACTGCTGATGTACTGGTGTGTACTGCCTGTGCACTGACTGCTGATGTACTGGTGTGTACTGCCTGTCCACTGACTGACTGCTGATGTACTGGTGTGTACTGCCTGTCAACTGACTGCTGATGTACTGGTGTGTACTGCCTGTCCACTGACTGACTGCTGATGTACTGGTGTGTACTGCCTGTCCACTGACTGCTGATGTACTGGTGTGTACTGCCTGTCCACTGACTGACTGCTGATGTACTGGTGTGTACTGCCTGTCCACTGACTGACTGCTGATGAACTGGTGTGTACTGCCTGTCCACTGACTGACTGCTGATGTACTGGTGTGTACTGCCTGTCCACTGACTGACTGCTGATGAACTGGTGTGTACTGCCTGTCCACTGACTGAGTGCTGATGAACTGGTGTGTACTGCCTGTCCACTGACTGACTGCTGATGAACTGGTGTGCACTGCCTGTCCACTGACTGCTATTGTATTGGTGTGTACTGCCTGTCCACTGACTGCTGATGTACTGGTGTCTACTGCCTATGCACTGATTGCTTTTAGTTAATACCTTTTACCAGTATTTTACAGTTTTAATATCAAATCCTGTACATATTTTGCCAATTGTATCACTGAGTTTTTCATGTTTTGATACTATTTAGATGCTATTTTTAAAATTGCCTTTTTCTCTTTTTAAATATATGTATATATGTGTGTTCAGTGTGTATGGGTGCACATGTGTGTACCTGTGTGTGGAGGCTAGATGTTGACCTTGTGAGTTTTCCTTAATAACTCTCCACCCTTTCACTGAGGCAAGGTCTCCCAGTTGAACCCAGAGCTCACCAGTATGGCTAGTATAGACCGCTAAGTCCGCTTTCTCCAGGAGTCTTTTGTTTCTACAGCTTCTGAGTGCTGGAATTAGAGCCTGGTCTCCATTGCCGACCCAGCTTGTTGTGTGTTCTAAGGATCTGAATTGTAGTCCCCACAACTGCTGCTTCCCTGGCAAGGGCACTAACCACTGAGTCATCTTCCCAGCTCTTTTCCTCTCAGTGGTGGGTTTTATTGTGACATTTACAGACATGTACAGTATGTACATTGATTATATCTAACTCGGCTCCTCACCTCAGCCCCATTACTCACTTGATACAGGGTGGGTGTGCATGTTGCCACAGGTCAGAGGGCAACTTGTGGGAGCCGATTTCTCTTCACCATGTGGGACCTGGATGTTGAACTGAGGCTAGCAGTGGGTGCCTTTACCTACTGCCGCCATTTCTGTGTGCGTGTGTGTGTGTGTGTGTGTGTGTGTGAAAGAGAGAGTGTGGGCAATCACAAGTCATGGCGCACATGTGGAGGCCCGAGAGTAACTCGGGAGTCAGTTCCCTCTACCTTGCCGAGCTAGGTCTCACTGTGTAGCTTTGCGTATTTCAGGCTAGCTGGCTTTCACACGCTGAGCTTCCTGGCAGACTTCCTGTGTCTTGTTGCAGGAGAGCTGGGATTACAGATGTGAGCCACCACATCTGCACCTGTTTTTTCTTTGTGTGATTGGACTCAGGCTATTTAGGCTTGTGTGACAAGCACCTTTTTCGCCAGTAGGATATATCTCGTTGGCCCATTTTTCTGTTTATTTACCTTGAAGCTCTTAGCCATTTTCTGAGCTAAGAATGGCCTGACTGTAATATGAGGATGTCATTATTCTGAGCTTCGGTCTCCTGGGTATGTTCACACGTTATTTGGACTGTTCTGTATGGTATCCTAAATATGAGTCCCATTCAAAATACGCCCCTGAATGTAATGTTCTTCCTTGTAGGTAATTTTTATATCTGTATTTAAGTTCACTTTTATTGTTATCCCAGTGTTTTTGGAGGAGTTGATGACAGGTTTATTTATATATTTGCACTTTTAAAACTTGAATTCTATAATCATACAAATCTGTTTCTGAGACTGGTGGTTTGACCTAGTTTGCACACGTCAGACCAACATTCTACCAGTTGAACTAGGTATTAGCTACTTAACAGATACAGCAAGTCTACTGCTAGGTAATACAGCATCCCAGGGTAATGTTTTAAAATAAGAGGTGTGAACTGCTTTGCCGTTCTTCAGATAGAGATTTTTTTTTTCTGGTTGTTTGTGTTTGATGCCTTAGCCTGATGTTGTAGTGTAGATGTCTCCACTGGCTTCCGTGTACAGTCCAGGGAGCTTCAGTGTCTTGTCTTTAGATCTCTCCCCAGCACCCTTCAGTGCCATTGTGCTATGGCAGTTGGTTTCCCTGCAGTGAGGTAGGTGATGAGTGATCAAAGAAGATGGAGCTCATGTCTTGGTGAAGCAGCCCTGGAGTCATGTATCATGTTCTGGCAGGGTCTTAGTCTCACGTGAGGTAATGCGTGGACCACAGTAGCGAAGAGACTTGGGTTCCACAGTTTGAGGAAGAGTTGCTAAAGAATTTGTGCATGCATTGTAACCCTCCCGTGAATGTGCTCTTTGTCGTTTGTTTTCAGGAGAGCTGATGGTTTGGGGTAATAGTCACTCTGACTTACTTTGGGTTCCACTATGTTTGTTCTATACTAAAGAAATTCTGATTTCTGATCTGTCAGTGGGTATGTTAATGTGACTTTGATAGATTGTCAAAATGTATGCATCTTAATTTCAGTCCTAGTTTTGAGTTGATTTCACAGTCTCTTTAGCGTGTTTAGTGAGGGTGCTCCAGACCTGCAGCAAGCATCTAGTCCCTGCAGTCTGTCCTGTCTTAACCTCTTGATTTCTAATTTGTAAATGTATTAAGTGTAAGAGTAATTGTAGAAATGTGTTTATTGAAATAAATGGATTATTTTTCCCTCTCAGCTGATTTGAATAGGATGCACAGACAGAATGTAGATGCCTACCATAACCCAGATGCAAGGACACATGAAGATAAAAGGGCTATTGTGTCTATAGACCAAAACTTAGCCACTTCAAGTGCTGAGAACCTAGAAGACTCTGCAAATAAAAACCCAGGTTTTTAATCACATTCTATATTAAAAAACATTTCTAATGCTGTTCAGTAACATTTCACTTCTGTTCTTTAATAAAATTCTTACTGTAATTTTGAGAATTTGGAACTATGAATTAGGAAGCATAGAGTATTTTCTTTCTTTAAAGTAGTTGTTTTGAGAAAAAGCGAATCGGGAACGGTTGCTTCACAGTGGGCGTTTCTTCCCAGCTCTGTAGTTTGCTGTGTATATGTAGTGCTGCTAACGGTTTCCTTTCCGTACCTGAGGGGATCTTTCTTTCCATATATCCGCAATTTATTTTTCATACCCAGACTGCATCAGTGAGAAAGTATTTGGTGTGTTATGATAAATTATACAAGAACTTAATTTTTTGTTTAAGTGATCACTTGCCCTCCACATAGTACAAAAAATGAAGTAACTGGAAGTTTAGTATCAGATCACATCTCTGTTGATGAGGACAGCTGACGTACCATTAAGCAGCATCCATAACCAAGTTTCTGTAAGTTGGAATTACTCAGTATCTTTTTTAAATGGCTTGCTGGGAAAAGTTGGCATCCTCCTTCTTTACCATATATGTAGGCGTATATGCTATACATTTAAAAAGTAAAGCAAATGTAAAGATGGACGTCTCGCACTATGTATCGATGCTGATAAAAGTGACTATTTACTATAAAATTCGGCTTTTGCACTTTTGTATTTTTTTTTTTTTTTTTTTTTTTTTTTTTGGTTTTTCGAGACAGGGTTTCTCTGTGTAGCTTTGCGCCTTTCCTGGGACTCACTTGGTAGCCCAGGCTGGCCTCGAACTCACAGAGATCCGCCTGCCTCTGCCTCCCGAGTGCTGGGATTAAAGGCGTGCGCCACCACCGCCCGGCACTTTTGTATTTTTTTACTGTGGTTTTGATTGTTTTTACACTTTCATAGAAGTTTTGATTATAGGAAACATTTTTACAGTAGGAAGTTCTTCTGAAATATTCCTGACTAATCATGCAGTTGAGTTTTACCACTCATCCGACTTACTGGCGCCCCACCAGGTCAGTGGGGTGACCGCGTTACTGGTCCCGGCTGTGGCCAGCACTTTGAACACGGTTGCTTGCTGCTTCTGTAGGCCGCCCCGTTCCTTGTTTGCACTGCGGTTGTGTGGAAGATTTTTTGTTTCCTTTTTTGTAGTCTTTTGAGACAGGGTTTCTCTGTGTAGCCCTGGCTATTCTGGAACTCACTCTATAGGCCAGGTTGGCCTCAAACTCACAGAGATCCTCCTGCCTCTGCCTCCTGAGTGCTGGGATCAAAGTCATGAACCATCACTGCCCGGCTCACAGTAGATTTTTACTGTTTGTGTCTAGCTTCAATTTTTAGAACTTTAAAATTGGACTCTTTTATTTTGATAAAATTATTTTTTCTTAATCTGAAATAGTTCAGTGTAGAGTAGGAACAACAAATACTTTTTCATGTCATTGCTGCTAGGAGAGAAGTTTAGCTCCTCTGTTTACTGCTGCTCTTCGTGGCTGCTGCTTCGGGAGTCGTGCTGAGGGTCTCCCCATTTCTTCATGCACAGTAGTGTTTGCAGCTCTGATGGAGCTTAGGACTTACTCTTTCTTCAGCATTTGCTTACTAGGCATAGACATTTAAAATAAACAATTTCCGTGACCCCTTCCCAAGAGAATAAGCCTGATTGAACATGCCCAGCAAATTCTGACCTGTTATTATTTTTCTATATTAGCTCAGGTTTTCCTCTGGGGGCTGCTAGTGATACCTTAATCTTGAAGATGTTCAAACTATCATAAAGTGTTTAGTTTCCTCATTTTATGTGAATTGAAATTTCCTAGGCTTTCTTTCCCTAAGAACTAACCTGAACTAACTTTGTAAATATAAGAATGTATCCAATGCTACCTAATTTGTGCTATGCCATATATATGTGTATATATATGTATATGAGTGCTGTGTGTATGTATCATGTGTACACATAGGCACATAGCTGTATATGTGTACATATATATGTGCTGCTTAATACTTTGAAAAGGCTTTGGGGAACTTGGATATATCTGAAATTTTCCCTAATCTATGCTTTTCAGCTTTGTTGTCCTCTGGTATATTGTCTTAATTGGGCTTTTGTTTTTGTTTTGTTACTTTTAGACAGTGTCTCGCTATGTGGTCCTGCTTGGTCTGGAACTCACTGTGTCCCCAGGCGAGTTCTTAAACTCATGGAGAGCTAGCTGCCTGCCTCCGCCTCCCCAGGGCTAGGATTAAAGGTGTGAGCCCTGTTCCCAGCCTCATTAGGCCTGGTTTTGAGTCCTTCATAAGGATCTTTTTGGTTAAATGTTGAGACAGGAGCTCACTATGAGGCTGTAGCTCTCCCATGCAGGAATTACAGGTGTATACCACCCTGCCTGGCTCATGCTGTGAATTTTCTTTTACTGTTTGGTTCTTAAGTGAACTGCTATGAAATCCAGTACTAATGTGGCTTCAGCTGTTTTTTGTGGTTACTATGGTAACTAGTTACATGTCAGTTTTCTAATAGTATTAACTCCCTAAACTTTGAAAAAAGTTTTTTTTTTTGCAACAGATTTATTTCATCTAATATTTCTTTCTTTTAATTGTCACAAAAATTCAAATTTTGAGGGAAATTAAGGTAAAAACCAACACTTACGTTTATTTTGCTCTCAGCTTTCTACGGTGCCCAAGATTTAAAAGAACCTTCATAGGCTCAGTTTGCTTTCAGTAGACCAGTTTTTTTGGGAAAAAGTTCTCATGCTGTTCCAGGCTTGATTGGACTTCCTGTTAATCCAGTCAACTGAATGTTAGTGAAAGGCAAAGGAGACCTGAATTGCTAAACTACCAAGTAGTTTCCATAAATAACACACAAAAAAGGAGATTAAAACATCAAATTGATAACAGGAAGAATGAGTCAATAACTGAGCATATGATAACACACAAACCTCTAATCCCAGCCTTAGGAGGCAAAGGCAGGAGGATTGCTGCAGATTTGAGGCTAGCCTTGTCTACATAGTGAATTTCAGATCAGTCATGGATACATAGTAAGACCCTGTTTCAATAAACAAAACCAACCAAACAAAAAAGAATAAATCAGTAAGTTAAGAATAATATAAAAAGTTACGTGAGACTTCAATTTAAATGTCATATTTTTTTCTCTCTGCATTCAAAGAGATTCCTAGGGAATGGTTGTTTTTCAAACAGCTTTTCTGAAATAAGTTCCATTTGAGAATAATATATAATGCTATTTTTAAGGGATATATATATATATATGTTACATATGTATGTGTAACAGTACAATATATATGAATGTAAATGTGCAATAAACTTACATTTATATCCCTTAAAAAGATACTCTGCGTGTACTATAGATACAAGGCTTGTGCATGCTAGTAAAGTGGTGAACTCAGTAATTTTAGAAGTAAAACCTATTACAGTTATTTAAATTTGTTAATTACTTCATAGCAGACTTCATAGCCTGTATTTAAGCTATGGATGTGAAGAATTTTGCACTTAGCAATTTTTAAAAATAATTTTTAGAAATTTCTGATAGGCATATAAATTAATAACTATCCCCTCCCTCTCTTTTCCCCCTGAGCCCTGGGGATTGAATCCAGGACCTTACACATGCCAAGCAAATGCCCTGCCTCTGAGCTATATTTCAGCTCCTAAGAACTGTTCTTAAGTAAAGGCTATTCATGTCATCTTTTTGTCACAAACTTTACTCTGTAGCCTGCACTGTGATCCGTGTTTAGGTTGTTAGCTTGCACATGCCCCCGTGTCTTCCTGCTGCTATAGACAGGATTTCCAGCTACTCACTTGGATCCGGTCTGCTCTCTCTTGCTGCCCTCCGTGCACCCGCCACGTTCTTGCCTCAGCCTTCTGTCTCTGACCTTAACCCTGGACTTCTGTATGTGGTACTGTTTTCATAATGTGGGTTTATTAGTACATCGTTCCTTTCCTAACAGTATGTTTCTGCAAATTGTCTTTTGAAGGTCTTGTGCAAGCACAGAGCTCTCCCTTTGCCCGGGGAAACACATTTGGGGAGCAGCCCACAGAGCTTCAGATTAAAGAGCAAGAATTGTACAAGAATTTCCTTCGTTTTCAGGTGAAAGGCTTGTTTGGTTATAGTTCCAACTCTTAATAATAAATATAGTAATAAACTAAATTTGCAGGTATTTTATCCACTGTGCACTAAATTCTAAAATGCCATGCACTTATCCAAAATGTCTAGTTTATATCAGATACAGGTATCACATTGTTTCACTCATATCTGAATCTTTTCTAAACTTCATTAGAAGATCAATAGTTTTTAAATCAATGAATGTTGAGATTTGTAAAATTCACTTATTTAGAGTAGGAAATGAAGCTCTGCCACCCTCCATGGATATGATATCCTTGTCTCAGTACAGACTCTAAATAATCAGAAGTTGCATTTCAGTTGAGTTTGGTGGTACATGTATTAATTTCAGCACTTGGACTAAGCAGGAGGATTGAAAAGCCAGGCAGGGTTATATGAAAAGATTCTGTCTCAGGAAACAGAACAAAACAGATTTACATGTAATATAATGACATTTTGCAATTATATGCCTCTTTTTGAATTTAGGTGAGTAACATTTAAAGTAATGAAATGTTCAAACTCTTCCAAAGAAGGTGCTTAAGCATCTAGTGTTTGTTGAGCATTGAGCTGGGGGAATCCACAGGATTGCCTTAGTGCTAGTAGGGGATAGAGCCCCGCGGCTGAGATGTCTGCTCTGAGGGACTCGGGGTTTCTTTCTCTCCCTCCCTCCCTCCCTCTACATGTATACTACACACATATCTCAGAGTGCCCGATAAAATTTCCTGTGGTATAAATGTTTTTACATGCTGTTGTTTTTTTACTCAGAATCTGGTACAGCTGCCTGTCTTTGCTTACAGAAAATGTCTAGATCCCTTAGCCTGACAGTTAAGGCTTCTAATCTGATCCCATCTGCCAGTCAGATGCTCACAAGATCACACTTGACCATGCTCTGCTCTCGGATATTGTGGACTGTACAAGGAGCAGTGGTCTAATGAAGGTAGACTTCAGAAGGATGGCTCTGGCATTAACGCTAGGATGTATCAATGGGGCATTGGGTGTTTTCTTAGAGCAGTGACAGTCAATGTGTGGAAATGATCGACGGAGAATATGACAAGTATCTCAAGCCCCACGGATATCAGTCACTCAGGTCAGCAGGTTAAGGGTGGTGCAGAATCAGCTGTTGAACTTGAAGGAGCTTGAGGTGGTTCTGTTACCATGACGACAGCAAAGTCAAAATGTAAGTTTACTCTATTTTATTTAGCATATCTACCATGGTTTTTAAAATCACTTTTTTCACAAAGTAATTTTAGTTGTAGTATCTTATTAAATTTCAGACTCTCTAGAGAAATTCTCTGTTTTGGGACATGCTGCTCAGCACAGGCAGATTGGTTTGTCCACAGCAGCAGAGGTGACCTGCTGGGAAGTCTTTCCCTCTGAAAGCCATGAATAAGAGAGGAGGCTTGACTGTTACTTGATCCTCAGAGCTCCTGCCTGCAATCCTCAGTGTACTGATGAATAGACTCTTCTTGAATGGTGATTGTTCAATTGTTTTCCTTAGCAGTCACAAAATCCCTTTTGTCTTCAGTCAGAATTAACACAGAATTCTAAGAAAATGCAAAATAGCTAAATGGTGTTTATTATTACTGTCAACAGTATCTTACAAGACAGAAAACCTAACACTTAAGAATTGAACTATCAACAGTGTCTTACAAGACAAAAAAATCTAAAACTTAGGAGTTGAAGTAAATGATTTAAAAGTTTTGTTCATAGAGGTGAGAAAGGAGCTTTAGCCAGTGATTTGCACAAATAAGTCATAGGTAATGCATTAGAAGCCTTGATGCTGTGCAAATTGAGTAACATTTGTGAATGATTTTTAAGTAAAGCTTTAAAAATAAACTTAAAAATTTTTAATAATTCAAACAAAAAGTTAATTTAAAATTGGCACATTTTATAAAGTACTTTTGTGTTACATAGTCTGAAAACTGACCTAGAAGATAGTTTTCTTCTTGTAAAAGTTACTTAGCTGTGTGGTCTGTTAATGCCTTACATGTTGTCAGTAGTTGATGTAGCAGTTATCCTCTGTAATTTTGTCATGGAAGAGGGAGAGGAAAGATCCAGGTTTAGTGTCAGGTTCTGTTGCATCATCAGTGTGTTTTCTGGATTTGTTGTCCTTGTGAGTGTCTGCATATTGCTTGGTATTGAGTGTTAGGCTGCACATTTAAATGTGTCATAGTGAGTATTAGGAAAGGCTGTAGTTGGTAACTCATAGTTATATATAGGAAGATTCAAGTTCTCATGTAAAATACTGACAATGTGCAACCTTAAAGCTACAGGAAATTCAGATTGCATAAAAATACCTTCTATTTTAAGAATGTACAATCCAGAGTGACATCTCCAGGAGACACAATCTCAGGGCGAACTTCCTGTGTCCCAGCTCCATCCTCTGCACACACTTGGGATTGAGCTCAGGACCAGTGCATGCTGAGTGCAGACTCTACTCCTGAACCACCTCCCAACACTGAGGTTTCAGTTCTTCTTAACCTGCCAGGAGGGAGGGAAGCATTCTGAGGAAACGGTTCTTTCATAAAGAGGCTAACATACTCAGTTAACTCTTGTGTGGGAATTCTCTTCAAGTTCAGGCACACTGAGATACAGTGATAATTGTAGAATAATACAGCCACAGACATTTACTTAATACTTCTATATAGCAAGAATTCATATGCTCTTTACATTGTTTCATTTGAGTTCTTTGAACACTTGAGAAGTGAACATTAATAACTTACTAGATGAGAAAACTGAGGACAAGTCCATTTCTTCAGTTCACATAGTCTGTAGTAAGCAGGATGGCAACTGACTGGCAGCTTTTAACAGTATCACGTGTCCTTTTTAGTCAAATACAGGACACCCCCAAACCGAGGGACTTGCAGACAGAAGGTGTACTTTGAGTCTGTAAGAGTCCAGGAAAAAGCGGCGGGCGACGCTCTAATTTGTTGGTAGTTGGGCAGAATACTAACTGGTCCTCATCTTCAGATCGAGGAAAAGAAACAAAGAGAAGAAGCAGAGCGCGAGAGACTGAGAGTGGCCGAGGAGAAGGAGGAGAAGCGGCTTGCGGAGCAGAGGGCAAGGATTCAGCAAGAGTACGAGGAGGAGCAGGAGAGGAGGAGGGAGAAGGAGGAGGAGGTGCGTGCGTCCAAGGGAAACGTCCTGTTCCCTTGAGAAGCGTTCTGTACTGCATGAGAGGGCTGCTGTCCTGAAGTCCGTCTTTAAAGCGCCCATTGTTACTGTCAATGTGTGGTATTTTATTGGGATCAATTACTAATTTAAGGAAGAGACATTGTTTTTAACTTTAGACTGATAAAAGATGTCTGCTACTTTATTAAGTAGATAGTACCTTCATTTGGTAGAACCGTCTTTTATATATTCAGTTTTTACTTTTAGTAACACATTTTTAAATGTATTGCAAATGTATGCAAGAAGTGTGTCTTTAAATTTTAAAGCAAAGACTAAAAAATGAAGAACTCATTCGGTTAGCTGAAGAGAGACGAAAAGAAGCAGAAAGAAAGAAGAAAGAAGAGGAAGAAAAACATAACTTGCAACTTCAGCACTACTATGAGAGAGAAAATATGATGGGAGATGAAACAAAGGTATGTCTCAGACAGACACGTGTCAGGCCCAGTGCGCATGCCTGGCAGAGTCGGGAGTAGTTAGGGAAGGAGAGAGAGGAGTGTTGCCTGTCTGCCCTGGCCTTTCAACCCAGTGCCAACACGCTGCTGTTGACCTTCGTTTGTGAGGTGCTGCCACAGTTGGAGTTTTGGACCTAATTTTGGCTGTTTTCAGTCTTGATACTGTGTCTGGCTGTGCAGCTTACGATGTAGCCTGTAGACCAGAACCCTGTGGACTGTGGGCTCTGGGACTACACAGCAGCTCGCCAGAGTGACTGGCTGGTCAATATACTAAAAAAAGTATTGGGCCTGACTTTCATTGATCTAGTGATTCATTCTTTGTTTTATGTATTATATTGGAAATTAAATGTAAGCACCAAAAAAACTGCTTTTCGAGTCCCTCTTTCTGACGCACAGGACTGAGGTTAAGAATTGGTACATGAATCATAAATCACAATTGTTAGACAGGGCTCTCTTCTCCAGAAACCTAATATGGTCTTATACAACTGAAATAATTTGACTATTTTGTAAAGAGTATTTTATTAAAAGCAATAATAATCTGAACTTCTTAAATGGTCTTGACTATTGAATATAGTTTGTATATGTATTTGTGTGTACAGAAAGATTTTGTTGTTGTTACAGCATTTGAGACAGCCTTCCCCTGTGGTTCCTGCTCTTCAGAACAAAATTGCAAGCAAACCCCAGAGACCTCCTTCAGTCGACACCATCATAAGCTCCTTCATTCATGTATGGACTTTTCTTACGGTGACTCTTGAGTTAGCTGGGATGCAGTACTTTGTGAGGTTTCTGAATGTTTGCCTGTTGCTTGAGTTGTTGCTGATAGCTCCTGGTGCCCTAAAGCTTAGTTCTTACAGTGCGAGTTAAGTCATAATTCATAAGACACGGTCTGTCAGATGCTATTTATTTGTCTCAGCTCCTTAAAAAGATCCTTTTGTTGTTGTTGTCATTTGTTTGTTTTGAGACAGGGTCTTATTCTGTAGCCCTGGCTGTTCTGGAATTCACTATATAGACTAAGCTGACCTCTAACCCGCAGAGATCTGCTCACCTCTGCCCCTTGAGTGCTGGGATTAAAGTTATTCACCACCATGCCCGGCTAAGAAAGTCTTGGAAAAAATATGTTCTAACTAGCTGTGGTTACACTTGTGGAGTCTCTAACCAGCTGCGGTTATACCTGTGGAGTCTTTAACTAGTTGTGGTTACACTTGTGGAGTCTCTAACCAGCTGTGGTTACACTTGTGGAGTCTCTAACCAGCTGTGGTTACACTTGTGGAGTCTCTAACCAGCTGTGGTTACACTTGTGGAGTCTCTAACCAGCTGTGGTTATACCTGTGGAGTCTCTAACCAGCTGTGGTTATACCTGTGGAGTCTCTAACCAGCTGTGGTTACACTTGTGGAGTCTCTAACCAGCTGTGGTTACACTTGTGGAGTCTCTAACCAGCTGTGGTTACACTTGTGGAGTCTCTAACCAGCTGTGGTTATACCTGTGGAGTCTCTAACCAGCTGTGGTTACACTTGTGGAGTCTCTAACCAGCTGTGGTTACACTTGTGGAGTCTCTAACCAGCTGTGGTTACACTTGTGGAGTCTCTAACCAGCTGTGGTTACACCTGTGGAGTCTCTAACCAGCTGTGGTTATACCTGTGGAGTCTCTAACCAGCTGTGGTTACACTTGTGGAGTCTCTAACTAGCTGTGGTTACACTTGTGGAGTCTCTAACTAGCTGTGGTTACACTTGTGGAGTCTCTAACCAGCTGTGGTTACACTTGTGGAGTCTCTAACCAGCTGTGGCTGTACTTGTGGAGTCTCTAACTAGCTGTGGTTACACTTGGGGAGTCCCTTATGTTTTAGACTGATCTGCAGTCAACAGGAAGCAGGAAAGTTGGCCTTTCAGTTGGTGCTTGAGCCGCCAGCAGGAGTTTGCTGTAGCAGACAAAGAGGCTATTATGGACTTTGAGTGTCTGCAAGCTGTGGAGGGCAGGACAAGCCATGTGGAGCATCTTCTGTGGTTTGGTTTGGCCTGCCTCATGATGTCTGTGTGCAAAGGCAGCAGGGAGTGGAGACCCTATGCAGTGTGTTGGGGTGGGGTGGGGGTGTTGGAGGCTTTGTTCCATGGGCTTGTGGACTGCAAAGATGTGAACCACCAGCCCAAGCATAGAAGTGTGAAAGGCATTTTCTTGGATTCTACTTCTGAGGGTCCAATTCACATGTTCTGAGACAGACGCCGTTGTGTTGGGATCCCTGTAATGTTGAAGTGGAATGACGTGGGCACTTGTACTTGTCTAATGGTCTCATGGGCAGTAAAGACCAAACACAGACAGGAGGCTTCTGTGGAAGACCGGATGTGACACTTCAGACAAGGGCACTGACACCCCAGTGACACAGGGGACTGAGAGGGTTGACAACTTCAGGGCATAGTTTCAGGTTTCTGGTGATGATTATACAGACTGGGGTTTGAAAACTGAGTTGTGGCTAAGGAAGAAGGCATTTTGGTATTTGTAGTTTGGGAAGCAGTTAACGTACCGGTGCTCTCTAAATTGATTGTGCAGGGTAAGTGTATGGAGGGGATACAAAGGGCAGAGGACAGGAACAGTGTTCGAACAGCATGGCAGAGCTAAAGTGTCAGTGATATTGTTACTTGCCAAGGAAATTCAGGATAAAATTGCCAACTGAGTGACTTGGGATCCCTTTGGTAAAGGCAGTCCTGCTGAAGTGATGGATGGGGAGGCAGACCCTGGCTGGGTATCAGGGAGTGGGAGGGGGGTGGGGGGGAGTGCTCTTAATGCCGAGCCGTCTCTCCAGCCCTGCACTCATTATTTATTAGTGAGGCCTCGCTGTGAAGGGCAGATGCCTGTGAATAGTTGGTAGGGAGGGAGGGAGGGAGGGGGACAGTTGTGTGCAGGCTGAGAGAAGATGTTGACTTAGAAGAGAAGGAAAAATGGGAAGAACTGTGGGCATGGGAGACTTAACAGACGCAGCATACGGTACAGGGACTGGCACTGGCCAGAGGCAAGGAGCTGTCCATCATAGGAGAAGGAAGGTTAGCCGTAGATGTAGATGAGTTTTACAGCGGAGGGTTTGGTTTCCTTCTGCACCGAGGACTAGAGAGGAAATGCTGACTCTGTCTGTCATTACTGTTCATAGGAAAGCTCCCTGTCCAGGGCACAGTCTCCTCCAGTTCCTGCAAGGAAGAACCAACTCCGTGCAGAAGGTAGGTCGCACACCTGTAATCTAGGGGCCTTGACTTCTTTCAGACATCTCAGCGTAAGTACAGCTGTAGAAAGTGGCCACAATGGTGGGGAAAAGTGCTGTGTGTCCCCCCAGCCGCGTCCTGCACAAATCTACAGACACATTTTCACCAGGTTTAACCTGTGTGTTTGCACTTTTGGTTTTGTGTTTGTGGCTTTAGGTGTTCATGTGTGTTTTTCTCATGTGTAATTTGTACAGTCACCATGGCAGTCAGCCTTCAGAGTACACACCACTCCTTTGTCATGCCCTTTCCAATGGCTGTCTCTGTGTGTGCCCCAAAACTGTTTTATCAAAACTGATTGTGGGTCTTAATGATGTTCACTATGATGTGTATTTGTTGATATATTTAAGACACACTGAAATATCTTTCCTAAAATTTCTCTGAGCCTTTATGATAAGCCAGATTGTGTTTTGGTAATTAATCTTTTGTTCTTTATCTTTTTTATTAACTTCTCAATGGGAATTTGCAGAGGAGAAGAAAAATGTGATTCTGGAGCTCTCAGAAATGAGGAAGCAGCTCCGCAGTGAGGAGAGGCGTCTGCAGGGGCGGCTGCAGCATCTGGACAGTGATGACGAGACCCCCCTCAGGTGCGTCCGTTCGTGCTGCTGCCTCCTGGAAGGTGACAGCTTCATCATGGAGCCTCCTGCCCCTCCTGTGCCTTCTGAAAAGTAGATGTAGAAATCTAGTTCGTGAGGGAAACAATAACATGGGAATGGAAAATTCTAAGGTTGGGATGTTTACACATGGTGGTACTTTATGGTTATTTTTATGTTTTCCTTCAATAATGTAGTTTTTTTTGTTGGATACATATTTTCTAGCAAAACATAGCTGCTGTTATTGCTAGAGGGCCCAACTTCCCTAAAGGAGGCTCCTGTCCTGTGCATTATTCTTCTGGGAGCTTGCCGATCATTTCTGGGCTACTGGACGGCACAGTCTTGCTTTTAAAAATAACCTTTCTGTTTGGGGATAATCTGGTAGAAAAGTTGGGAACATACATAAGCTAGGTACCTGCCGCCTAGTTTTCTGCATCATTAATATCTTAACATTATGAGCTTCTGTCTGAAGCTGACATCTGTTGTGTGACAGAACTTTTCCTGGGGAGACACAACACACAGGTCTACTCACCCTAGATAGGGATCCTGTGACAGACCAAAGTACAGATAGCACCAAGGTCAACTTGATGAACCAGTGCTTTTTATTGGGGTGACTCACAGGAGTGTGGGTGAGAGGTCACTTAGAGGACAGAAATGACTCAAAGGACAGCTGCAATCTCTAAAGCCCGCGCCCCAGCATGGGAGCTGCAGCACAAAGCTGGGATCCTGGAGCACACTGCAGCCTGCAGGCAGCTCAGCAGGCTGGAATGTCCTCTCCAGGTGCCTCACTTCATCTAAACCTTCAGGCAGCTGGTCTGCTCTCAAGTCTTTTTTGCCCCTCAGTTTGTGTGAGGGTCTTTATTGTACTTGGATTCCCTCATGTGAATTGGAAACCAGCTTGTTTTACATAGTGAGTTCTGGGCCAGCCAGGGACAGGGAGAGAGGCCCCGTCTCACAGAGGTGGGGGGGGAGGGAGGGAGGGAGGAGAGGGAGAGGAGAGGGGGGGAAAGAGCGGAGAGAGAATGGGGAGGGGGAGAGGGAAGTGGGTAGGTACACAGTGTCAAAGGAAGCACTGATTGTTACTTGGTTTTTATCCATTTCCTTTGGGCGTATGACACAGCCAATCCCTGGCAGAAAGCTTCCTCCGGAGCTACCCAGAGTGTTCATTCCTTGAGTGCTAACAGAACAGAATATTATTGAACTACTGTAGCTGTCAGGTTGTTGGGGAGTTTTGTAGAGTCCTGGTATAGTTCCCTAGGTATGGAGCAGAGCACTAGCAGCACACGCTGTGTGCAGTTTCTACTTCAGCCTGAGACAAAGGTAAGGTTTACTGACACCTAATTCATGGCGTGTACTATGCACACTACTTCACATTCCTTTTAATTCTCTTCTTCACAACATGATTAAAATGGACAGATTTTTATAGATATTGGCATTGAAATCAAATTGCTAAAAAATTGCATGCCTGATCTTTGTTTTTTTGAGACGGGGTCTCATGTAGCTCAAGCTGACATTGAACTCCAGACTGCTAGGATTGCGGGCAGGTGACACCATGTCCTCCTGGAGTCTTCAGGTTTTATTTTAGCATGGGTGACCAACAGAGCAGGACCGTTAAAATGTCTGTAATAGCCGTGATGAAAGATGCCCGACTGCTTTGACAGTGAGGTGAACGGGAACTCGGTTCCTACCATAAATCATAGTGATCATGATTTGTCATTTACAGGAAAAGAGAAAGGAATCCCATGGACATATTTGACATGGCTAGGCATCGGGTACAAGCTCCCGTCAGAAGACCGTCCCCGAAGGCCTTGGATGCTGCTACTTTTCAGAATATTCATGACTTCAGTGAGCTGAAAGAGAGAGGTGAGCATAAGCTGCCCTATTTGCCAGGCTCTAGGTGACATCTTGGGGTCACACAGCAGTTGCTAGATTTGGGAACTCCCTTGTCGTACTGCCAAATTGATGTGAAGCTTTTCATGAAAGACCATCAGTTTTGTGTTCTTTACTTTCATGTCTATTGTAGCGTCTTGACTGAGGTTCTGATTTGCAATTAAGGTTCTGATTTGCAATTAAGGTCATTACCTATTTTTTTTTTTCTTTTTCAATGCTGGTGATCAAGCTCAGTGTCTCATGAAGTGCAGTGTGACAGAGCTTTATCCCCACCAAGGTCCAGAGAGTTTCCCTGCCTCTGCACATGCACAGCCTTCTCCATTCCGGACACCTGCACCTCAGAGGCACACAATATTGGGGCTGATCAACCTGAATGGATAGACCATTACCTCTCAAAGTTCATGATTTGCATCAGGGCTTTTGATGTGCGTTCTCTCAGCTTGGATAGCTGTATGATTACATATGCTCACCATTGTAACATCACACAGAATGTCTCACAGCCCTAAAAGTCCTTGGCTAAACCCGTTCACCCTCCCGTCCCTTTATCCCTTTAAGTTCACAGTTTACCTTATGCAGAGTGTCATAGTCATGCAGTCGTGATCACTAGAGTCAGCCTTCTCAGATTGGTGCCTGTCACTCAGAAACACACTCAACTGTCCTCAATACCTTTTCATGGCTTCAGAGTTCATTTTAGCCCCCGCCTTTTTTTTTTTTTCCCCTCTGAGACAGAGTCATAGTTGTAGTCCATGCTGGCCTAGAACTCACTGTGTAGCCCAAGTGACCTTGAACTGGTAGCAGTCTCCCTGCTAGAACTACAGGCAGAAGTCTGACTTACTTTCATTCATTGTTTAATCTGTTCATTTTCTTAAGAACATCTTGGATGCTTGCTTCCATATTTTACAGTTATAAATGTGTGTACATATTTTTGTGTCTAAATCTCAGTTGAAAACAAGATTTAACTCAGTTATGCCATTTTTTGCACCAGATTCAGAAACACGAGTGGATCTGAAATTAATGTACCCAGATCCTCCACGAGATCATGACACCTTAGAGATCCAGCAGCAGGCCCTGCTACGGGAGCAGCAGAAGAGACTGAACAGAATAAAAATGCAGGAAAATTTGGGAGGTACGGTGCAGACCCTGCTGCGTCAGGTGCTCACTATGGCCCTTCGTTCTTCAGCTTTGAAGTTGTTGCTTTTATTTGTATGTTTGCTTAAAGATTTATTTTTGATTTTTTTATACACACACACACACTCAAACACACACACACACACACACACACACACACACACACACACACACGGGGGGGGGGGGGCATATACACATGAGTGCAGGTACCCTCAGAGATCAGAAGAGACTGTGGAATACCTGAAACGGAAGTTATAGGTAGTTGTGAGCCGCAGGTGCCAGGAACCAGCTTCTGTCCTGTAAGATCAGTGAGTGTTCCTAACTGCCGAGCCATCTCGTCAGCTTTTGTTTTTTAAAGACAGTCTTCTTTCTGTATTCTTGGCTGGCCTGGAATTCACTGTGTGGACTAGGCTGCCTTTGAACTTGGAGCAGTCACCCTGCCTCTGCTTCCTGAGTGCTAGTAGTATGGGCACGTGCCGCTCTGTGCAGCCTTCAGCCTTTACCGTCTCCTGCATTTATTTTGATCCCAGGCAGGCCAGTGCACTGGCAGCTCCGTGCTCATGTTAGCCTTTTGCCATAAGGTTTGGGAAAGGAACATGCTCCGTAGCATGCTTTGATTAGCCCAGGAAGGGTCATGTATCCCCACTTGGGAGCTCAGCTGTTCACTGTTGCTGGAGTGGTTGGGTGCTTTGACCAGGCCAGCTGACTTCCACACCAAGGGCAGCCAGCCAAGACCAGGAATGCTCAGCAAATGCATTCAGTCCTGGGGCACATTTCTCTTCAGTATGTTAGGTGTTTTTTTCATTATTACTTGTGTGTGTGTGTGTGTGTGTGTATGCACACATTTTGGTAGAGTAAATTTTTAAAAGTAAAAAGACGAGTGGTGTGGTGCACACCTTTAATCTAAGCAATTGGGAGGCCGAGGCAGGCGGATCTCTGTAAGTTTGAGGCCAGTCTGGTCTACAGAGCTAGTTCTAGCAAGGAATGCCAAGGCTACACAGAGAAACCCTGTCTTGAAAAACAAAAACAAACAGACAAAAATCTGTGAAGTATCAGATTTGGGTGTATGTTTTTATATAATTATCTGATTATCTAAATATTATCTAAATCTAGTCTGATGATATTAACCTGCCTATGAGGAGCACAGAGACTAACCTACACTAACTTGATATGGTGGGCAGCAAGCTAGGCTGCTGTTCTCAAGGGGCTGATGATAACTGTAGAAGTCAGAGGCCGAATAAATACAGTGTGAGCACTGTAAAGGGGACCTAAGCCTTCAGGATTATGTAACCAGCAGGAGCCCAGGGTAAGTGGGCTAGAAGTAGGGGGATTGTCTCAGAGAGCATCTATGGCCTTACTGAGCAAGAGGTGAACATTGTGACCGTTCCTGTATCCCACTTGCTTTGCCGGGCTGCAGGCCATTGAGAGTGGCCAAAGAAAAGGAGTCATAAAAGAAGGCTAGGAGAGATGATCTTACTTGTTATTTTTCAGAAACTTAGGACCCTCTCTTAGCAGGCTGAAAGGGCTTCCAGAATTTGAGGACGGTCCCTGACCCTGGGAGGTATGATAGGAGTACACTTTAGGATGAACTCATAGACAGACTTACACAAACCCTTGTATAGGAGACATCATCCCTCCTCATGGTGCAGAAAACTGGACATGGTGGTCTGATCTTGTGGGATGTTATCAGTTTAGGCACAGCCAGACTAACCTCGTCCCCAGATGGGTACAGGTATTTCTTCCTGCCAGTATCCATCTGCCTCGGCAAACGCTGTCGAAGTAAGCATAAGATAGATCTGACTGTTGACAGTCACAAGGATGGAAGGATGTGGGCCGTCACTGCAACTCTTTACTCCCAGTACAGCATCCAGAGGGCCCAAGTGGGCTGTCTTTGGGAAGCTGCCATGCTGCAGATGCCCTGGGATCCCTGACCCGGGGCTGGCTCCCTACAGTTGAACTTACTCCAGCCACAGTTAACCCAGTGACTGTGCAGGGATTACAGAGCAAGACAGATGGTTTAAAAAAAAAATCCTGTGTTTTTTCTTAGATGTCAAAGTTCACAAAGATTTTACTACTGAGTCATTTAACCAGAATGGATACAAGATTTAATGCGAAAGTAGCATCATTTCTAAGACTGTTCTGGCGTGTGATAGGTGAAAAGTAATTTTCAGTAGAAGCTAGTAATAGAAGATCTGAAATGTATTTTATTTGTTAACCTTGTCTAAACATCTGCCCTTGTTTCTCTGTTGCCTACAGTTGATTTTGACACCATGTCCAATGGGAAAGTACAAGGGTGCAGAATGGTAAGCAGTCCGCTCAAAGTTTGAAGTTAGATTTTGGAGCTTGTATTAAATGAGTAGTCTAGATTTTGAACATGTCCATAATATTAATACTTATTTTTAAATTGTAAGTGCAATGTCTAGAGATAGGTGGCTAAGATGTGGAGAGAAAGTTGACAGTAACGGGTGAGGATACCATCCTAGTGGCCTTAGCTGGTGTCTTTAGCTGTGTGACTTGGGGGAGGTGGGCAGATTATTTAATTTTTATGCCTCAGTTTCCAAGTACTTATTGTGAGGATCACTACAAAGACTCAATATTTGCAAGGTATAGATAGGTTTGACATATATAGTCTGTGTACATTCTACTAAGTAAAAGTGTGTACAAGGTCACTGTGAGAGTTAAGTGAGCTGACACCTAACTTAAAATTCTTTCCAGTAGGGCCTGGCCCATACTGAATGCAGAGTTGTTAGCGGGCATTAAGAATGGCGGTAGAAATTGATTTAGTAGTGTGGAAGATAACTCTCATCCTGACATTGTATGAAGGCTGCATTCAACTCTCTGCTCTGTGGGCCAGAAACTGTTCAGTGTGTTCAGGGTACAGGGTACAGGGAAAGGGGGCGGGGGAGGGTCGGCACAGGTGAACTTTCAGTTTATAACAACAGCTATGGAGGAGGTAGCGGTGGAAAACTGGACAGTACTTGGAGGAAGAATACTGAGCAGAGGAGGCTTGAGCAAGGGTGAGTGGGGACAGACGGGGCCATGCACACTGCTGGTGACGAGATGCCTCCAAAGCCTCGGAGTGGAAAGTCACGTCCTCGGTGTCATGCTTTCGGGCCATCACTGCTGTGTGTGGAGAGTCGACAGGGATTCCTCTGCGGATCTAGGCAGCTGTGCTCGGCAGGCAGAGGGGAGCAGAAGTGCTCTGAAACGGCTTTCCTTTAGTGGCCGATAGGTTCGGCTTGGGAGGTGCAGAAGCAAGAACCATCAGTTTGGGGTTGGGAAGGCTGGGCTGTGACACATAAGTGTGAATGCATATAGACAAACAGCTGCACTGGTGAGCACATGGTTGAGAGTCTAGGGGACGCACTGGGGCTGGAGAGTCCTAGGATGCTGCTAGCCTGCCCCGAGTCCAGACGGTGGAGCTGGCTGCGCCTGCGCTGCCCAGGGCTTCCATCCAGCGCTGCTGTCAGTTTCACTGGATGACAGTGTGGTGCTAAATTGTACAAGACACACTCATCACTAAATTATACTTACCAGCTTCTTATCTTGCCGGAAGCCATACATCCAACTAGCAAGGCCCAGCTCTGAACCCAGGTGGGCTCCATGTCCACCTGTCCTACAGCACATGGCCAGAGGCACTTGGCCTCTTTGGGAAGACTGCATTTGGGATCTCTTTCCATGGTTATATTATCCATGCAAAAGATAATAAAGTTTACTATCTGGGAATTTGGTTAAAAATCTGGATTACTAACAGCAGGTTTGGCTAAGAAGCTTAATATAAGCCAAGAGTTTATTTATCATGACTGTTTAAAAAAACAAGCACTTGCTTTTCCTAGAAACTAAATTATATAGCACAGTATATAGTGTGAGGCCGCTGCCATTAAAGTAGAATCAATGGTAGTAAAGGAGGAGATACAAGTTCAATACATGGAAGAGTTGATTGTACAAAAAGTATTAACAAGAGCAAGAGAATTCATTGCTAGCGTGTTGGAGCGAAGTGTAGGCGCCTCCTAACACACAAAGTGGTTATTGTGCAGATGTAAATTTAGGTTACTTCCACTTGGGAGCTCACTATAGTAAGGTCCATGCCGTTTTCTCCAGTGTCACGGTGTGTCCGTGTGGTGCTACTGTGGGTTGTAGTGCCGAGGCTCTCGGGTACACGGCAGCATCTCTTCCGCACCTCGTGTGGGACTGTAATCTACCCACTCTCAGAACTTATTAACATGTCCCAGTTCCTAGCATGGGAGAATTAGGAAGAAGGCTGCTCAGACTTACTCAAAAGACAGGAGAACCTAAGTAACATGGAAGACTTTAGTGCCCAGTGTTTGGAGTCACTACGTCACTCGCTTGTTTTCATCAACAACCACCAGAGGGCAGTGAGGAGTCGTAAAGGTCAGGCTCCTGACTTCAGGGAGAAATGAGGCCTGCCCGTCTCCTGTCTTGGTGGGGCCTCCTGGATACTGGAATGTTAGGAGGGAAGCAGCCCTCCCTGCCAGCTCTTGTTTTTGTTCGGGGCGGGCGGGCGGGTGTTAGCGTGGAAACCTACGCTATCTCAATGTGACTTATTTTCCTACTCCAGACTAAAGATACAGCCATTAACATGTGACTATTTTTTTTTTTTTTTTGGTGTGTTTAATTTAGCCCAGAGATGACACTAATGACTTTTTGAAAAATTCATTACTGGAATCTGACAGTGCTTTTATTGGTGAGTGTATTTAATTTACCAGTGTTATGTTAATTTTTAAACTAAATATATATATGTCCATTTTAGATCTATAATATAGGATTTCACTTTTTAGTCCAAGCTGAACTGGAACTCACTGTGGCCCAGGATGACCTCAGACTTTGATCCTGTGTCTTGAGTGTTGAGATTATGAGTGTGCACTGCTGTGCCGGGCTGGTACCACCGTTTTTGAAAGTAGTTTGCCAACCACACAAAATGTGGAGCAGTCACCGTGACACCTGTCAGTAATGCCTCATTTCTGTCCCAAAGAAACCATGTCCACACAGAGGTGTGCATGAATATTCACCAAGCAGTATCATTCAAGAGCCACTAGGCATCAGCAATATTCGCCAACTGGACCAAGTGCAGGGGCAAAATGTGATGTGTCCGCGTACTGAAGTGTGACTCACTCGGCAGTGAGATGCTCCATGAACCTCAGGCACATGCCAAATGAGAGTCACAAAAGATTGTGCTGTAGAATTCCAGTCATGTGGAACGTGAGGAAGGGAACGTTGGACTGGGCCTGGGGCGTGGTTGCCAGAGCAGAAGGGAACTATTTGAGGTGATGGGAACTCTAGGTAGTAATGATTGTACAACTGTAAATTCACTAAAGAAATCACTGAGCGTGTATAGTAAATAGCATCTCCATAAAGCAATGTAAAAAGACATCAGACTTGAGCCTTAGCTCTGAGTAAAATTCCAGGTTTCTTTGTGTGGCCTGTGTAGGTGCTTATGGTGAGACATATCCTGCCATTGAAGAGGATGCCTTCCCTCCACCATCACAGCTGCCCTCTGCAAGGGAGCGCAGGAGGAACAAGTTGAAAGGACTGGATTTTGTATGTAGAGCCTCTCCCTCCCACCCCTTCCCACATCTTCTCAGTGTAGATGACTCAAAATTTGGGCTCAGTTTATGTGGTCCAATTTAAAAAACGAAACGAGGGGCTTGCTTTGAAAATCAAGTGGGTGTGGTCTGAATCTTGGGTTCTGCCGTCAGTTACTTGTAGCTTTTAGGATGGCAATATGTAGCTCTGTAAATGGCATAGATATCCTTTCCTGTAAATGTTAAACTTACTGCCTCAGTCTTATTCCCTATATAAAATATGGGCTTTGGTGAAGCCATAAAAAGAACCTGATAGCATTTATCAAAAGGCTGCTAGCCTGGAAATAACGTAATAAATATGGTGGCAACTCCCATTGTGGTCAAGTGAGTTTCCCAAGGTCAGTAGGTAAGAGGACTAAGATTCAAACCCATATTCCTTTCCATAGCTTTACAGTGTAGTTGACAGAAGGCTTCAGAGCCTTCAACAAACCATGTTCTGATGGTGCCCCTCTTCTTTGGGTAGGCAACTTTGGACAGCTTCTTAAGCTCTTTGTTCTCGTTTATATGACTTGTACTCAGGAGCTTAATAACAGTCTGCTAACTAGCATGATCACGTGTCTAGCTTTATCAGGCTATGAAATGCTGTTGCTCTAGGTAACTGCTAATCTGCTTTGGTCTGTGTTGTCTTTCTGCCTATTCATATAAACGACTGCCTTCTTGTTCTTGCTCAAGAGCCATCCGTCTTATAGCATGTGTCAATACCAGATCCCTCTTCGTTATATGTAGACACTGCAGTTTGCACATTCATTCGACCGGTGATGGATACCTTCCTGGGTTAGTGTCACCTTTCTGCTGTCCTGAGATTGCTGCTAGCATTCAAAGGACAGGTTTCATGTGGATGTTTGTTTTGTTTTACTTATTTCTCTGAATTACTGGATTATTTGGTCACTGTATGAATTTAACATTTTCAAGGATTTCTATTTCCCAAAACATGTTCGCCATTTTATACCATTTTCAAACATTTTTCATTTATAGCAGTCTATGAATTTCCTACTTCTCCATGCCCAGTAGTGGTTATCAGCCATCATTTTTCTTACAGCTAAAATGTCCATTGTGTCATAGAATAGCTCATGTGCTTCCTAGCTGGTTGTGGATCTCCTTTGGAGATCTGTCACTTCAAACCTTTTAAAGGTCCATTTTCAAATTGTGTGTACTATTTTCACTGGGGAAACTTAAGACTTCTTTATACATTCTGTCAGATGTTAGATTTGCAAATATTTTCTATTAAAAAGATTGTCCTTTTTTGTCTTCTTGATAGGTTTTAAAGCATAGATGCTTTAACTTTTAATAAGGTCCAAATTACCAGTTTTCTTTTTTATCATTTGGATTTTTGAAGGTCTTACGTAAGAAATTAGTCTAACATAAAACCATGAAGATTTACTTGGGATACACTCGAGTTAGCTCTGCATTTGGTATGAGATATGCAGTCTGAATTCCTTCTTTAGCATGCAGACATTATTTCTCTAGCACCATTCATTGAAAAGACTATTTCTCTCCCTATTGCACTTGGTTTGGTCTTTATAAAAAAAAAAATACCATGATTACTTTTCAGGATTAATTTCTTCCATTGCTTTGTGTGTCTGTCCTGCCTTGACACTGACTTGAACACTAAGCCTCAGCTTCTGCTGTGTGTGTTTTCTTTTTGTGCCCTGTAATTCCTGGACCTTAATCAGCTGCCAGCATTAAGTCACCACAGTGCTACTTCTTAGCCCTGACAAAGTCACCTGACCTTGCAAAGACAGCACACAGAATCCACACACTCCTGTTGTGCTCTTCACAGAGTGTATTGATCCAGGGTAAAACTATGCTGACTGACTGTTGGAGCGTTTCTAAATTCTCTCTCTGTAACTGTAGGATAGTAGTCGGCTCCACATCCCACCAGATGGTCTCTCTTTAAAATCTGTCTCCAGTGTAAATGTCGATCAGCTTAGAATGAGAAATGAAGACAGAATGAGAAGACTGAATGAGCATCAGAAGAAATCCACTAACACAGGTACCATGCAGATGTTCACTGGCTGGTGCACATCTGGGGGAATGAGAGTTTTGAAGTCCTATGAGTTTTATGGTCAAGGACATAACTAGCCTGCAAATCCAGGGCTTGGGGTTGATCTTGCAGTAGATTGTTCACACTAGAAGGTGTCCTTTAAGAGCAGAGCCTAAGCAGTTCCAGGAGACTGGTGTATGAAATACATCCACAGTGTTTCACCAGGGAAAAGTGCTGACTTAGGTCATTACTCACTAGAGTAAGAAATGACTGGCTTTGTGTTTTTAATTGACACATCTTAAAGTCTGTAGTATTATAAAGAAACTTTTACCTGTACTTGGCTTTCTGTGCTATGAAGAAAGAAAAAGTTTTCTGTCAATATTCTATGCCAACAAGCTCATCTTCTGATGAGTAGTTTTGGCTGAAACTTTTCATGAAGCACAGGGCAGCTTCAGACCTCTTTGCCAGCCTGTGCCACACCCTTTTAAAAAAATCAGGCTGTTAGTTCCTGGGATCATTGGCCAGCATTGTTTTAGTAAAGTGCCTGTTCACAGAATTCACTGGTCTGTTAAACTGCATTGAAGTCTTTTTGTTGTTGCAACTTCCTTAAATATCTCTAGTGCAGGAGTGATGCGTTCTGATGGGAAATACTTTTCCACCAAAGAAGCAGACATGGTCAATTAAGGGAGTAGTACTTTTCATTTCATATCAGACCTGGAAAACATGCCATAGTGAAGAGGATGTCTTCAAAGGCATTTCTCCTGAATGGATACCTGGAATTGCCTTGTTTTAGACTCAGTAGACTTGAACTGATAACTTAGCAGGATATATTTGAGAGGAGATAGAAAAACATAAGATTCTTTCAGGTTTTCAATGTCTAAACTCTTTGTTTTAACACTGTCCTTTCAAACAGGAGCTTTTTGGTACGATGTGGACTGATTGCTCATTAAACTGATTGCACACCCCTTTGCTGAGTAACCCAGACCAGGAGATGTCATTTTTTTTTAGAAAAAGAAATTGACATCACAGGGTAGGAAGACAGATTTTTCCTATTTTATATCTATTAAGTCAAATATATAGAATTTGAGTAATATCAGATGTGGTTAATGAACAAGTCCCCTCTTAATGGGCCATCTTAGATTAGCGCAGCTGTCATTTCCTTGGAATAACTTTCGACGGGCCTGTGTCAGTGCTATAGGCTGGACCAGTGTTCCTCAACCTGCTCAATTAAAGTCTGTGGCATTGTCCACTGTTGTTCCTAATGGTAACAGACATGAAATAAGACAGTCTGTGTTTCTACAGTCAGCTTTGAATGTTTAGTAGAATCTCCTTTGGTATAGTTAGAGTTCTTGTAACTAACTGCCATGAAGTCAATTTATTTCTCTCCCACTCCCAACGTAGCCCTTTCTTGGCATGGTCTCCTACTTCCAAAGGAGTAGTTGTTGGGTTGTTGATTCTGTAAAGAGATGCAGAGTTGTAATGGCCTGGACTGTAGGTACCCTGTGTATGTTACCTGCCACCTGACTTTTTCTCTTTTGCCTCCTGTAGATGATGAGAGTTCACTGGTTGACCCTGATGACATCATGAAACACTTGGGTGAGGATGGATCCAACTCTGTGGCAACTGAGCCCTGGCTCCGCCCAGGCACCTCTGAAACTCTGAAACAGTTCATGGCAGAGCAGCTGAATGAGGAGCAGCGGCAGGTTCCTGGAAAACCAGGCACTTTCACTTGGCAGGGCCTGTCTGCTGCACACGCTTAATTTAAAATAAACCCTCTGGACCCAGCAGTGCCTTTTACAATGGAAGGAACATTCAATCTGTATCTTGAATGTCTTGCTTGTGGCCCTACCCAAATTTTAGTTATTTATGTTCTAGCTATATAGAGAGTGTATTTTTCTCATGATGATACATGTTTTATATATATTATATATAATGTATATAAAAATCCCTGATTATTGATTTATAACATAATTGTATAGAATTATTTTTGCAATTTTGCCATGGGTGGTAATGAACTCTTGATTCAACTACCATATGTGCATTAATTCTGCTTGCCATCCAGAGGTGATGAAGTGTTAACAGTACTGTGAAACAGACCACATTTCACTAGCACACCAGCCACTGTTGGCTTTGTGTCCAAACAGTTCATAGTGAACACACCTGCTGGAGCTGTGACTAGTCCAGCTGCTATGTAAATGAGCGACTCCAACAAGCTACTCCTTTTCATGACATTTGTAGCTACAGATTCCACAGGAGTGAAGGGAGAGGTGACCATCTTACCTCCATGAGCCATCTTTCTGCCTCCATTTTATTTTTATGTCGATAAAAGCACAGACTCACTCAGTTACTAATTTATCTGATTTCACTATTTCTTGATACAAATAAAGTTTTATTTTTATTAACTACCAATGTCAGTTTCTTTACTTGAAATAGAATTGAGGTTTTAGAGGCTAAAAAGCTCCCACCCAGAAAGGACAGAGGCAGTGGTCTTCTGTGCACTGCCTGAGACCCTTGGCTATAATCAGTAAATGATACTTCAGAAAAAGACTCGTTCAACTTCCAGAAAATAATTCTTACTTGGATTAGGGTCTTCAGTACATACCGTGGTGACAGTTGAAGTTAACCCAGCCACTGCTTCTCTGATATTTCCAGTGACAAAATCAATGGCAGATAAGGACAGAAGAGTTTACCAAAAATAAATTTCTGGTATTCTTGTTTTGGGCTACATGCAATTTTTATGTTCAATTTTGCTCTACTAATAAATTTTCTTCTGTCAGTATTTGACAGTAAGAAGGACTGCATGCGTCCTCTGTGGAGAGTGGATACTATAGCATGGACCAACCACCAATCATGGGAGGAAATGGCTTAGATCAAAAGACATTAAAGTGACTTAGTTCTAACATTCAGCCTGGTTTGAATAGAGCTGGTCTAAGGAGATATATGGAAGCAAAGACTAACACATTTCCTGTTTTGAAATTAACCAACACACTGTTTTGGTTTTTAATGCTATGTATCACATACCTGGGAACTGACTGATTTACAAAATGTAACACTACAAACTACGTTAAAGGCAGGGGAACATTTCCAGTCTCATAATGAAGAGCTTTATCCCTGAGTAGTAAATACACTTGGATATTCTAGGATTAAGAAAAGAAGTTGGGGCTGGAGAGATGGCTCAGTGGTTAAGAGCACTGGCTGCTCTTCTAGAAGTCCTGAGTTCAATTCCCAGCAACCACATGGTGGCTCACAACCATCTTTGTGGGATCTGATGCCCTCTTCTGGAATAAAGTCAATAGAGCACTCACATACACGAAATAAATAAATCTTAAGGAAAAAAAAAAGTAAAGAAGTTGAAGGACCTAATGCATAGACTGCAAAGAAGTGTCTTTGTAGCTAAAAATATATCATTTTCAGAGTTTGGACTTAAAAAAAAAAATCAATGCAAACAGGGCTGTAGGTTACACAGTTTTAACTGCACTGATGAAATAATTCAAAAACTTTATTGACCTATAACCTGATTAGATATGCCAGATGAGAATCAATATTGTACAGAAAGTTGTACAGAATTTTTTACATAGAAAACTTTACATCTGTACCATATACATTTTATCCATCTGAAAAAATTTTCTACATCCACTGTTAATATGGAATGCTTGACAAGCTTCTCATTTTAACCATCAGAGCACAATTCACAGTATGAATACATTTCCAGTAAATCTAACCTCCCCAAACCATGCCAGATTTGTTATTTTAATATATTCAACATTAAATTCTGTACATAGAAGAAAATCTACATCAAGCCCCGCCACCCAAAAGAAAAAGTGACAGCAACCTAGATTCATTTTGCAGTGATTCAAGTTTCAGTCTGTGAAAAAGTCATCTACTTTAATGGCTCATCTTTAAAGCCCTAGGAGTATGGTACCGGTAGTTCTTGTCAGCACGGATGTCTTCTACCTGGTGGTTTCCCCTCCTGTTGGGATCTTGACAAGCATTGGTCATAACAGATTCAGGGCATACTAAGCCCTCAATATGACCACCCCACCCCCAAAAGACAAAAGTTCAACCCAAATGTTTTAGTGCATTTGACAAAATATTATGGGTATTTAGCAAGTAGATAAGAAAATAAAGAAATAAAACAGTGCAGGAGGAACAATATGTTTTAAGATTTTTATATTACAGACCTGCATCTCTGTACATTTTCACAGAAAGATGATGATTCCCAGTATCTCAGATAGCCTGAGTGTGCAAAAATCTTCAGAGTAAGAATACCATAGTTGCTAAATATCTTTTACCATGAGCAATAATTTTCTCCCTTCCCCCCAATTATAAACATTTTATCCTTCAAAATACAGCTCTCCTGAGTTGTACTTCCTGCAGAAGTTCCATCTTTATATCTATACTTCTTTGGGTAAGTTTCATTTCCGTACCTGCCAAAAGTGTGGGGCTCACCCTGCTCAGAGGACAGGGAAGGACCCATGAAGGTAAGCTGACACTGAACAGGCTTTCTGTTCAACACAAGCCCAACATGACAGAGAAGCCACCAGACTACTAAAGGGACCGCATGGAGTGTTCCGACTGAGTTATAGCTGTAAGCATCTTTACCAGTAATTCTCAGACACTGCAATTCAGAGAAACAATTTTTCAGGTAGGAAACCTCTGCTCCAAGGTCCTTTTTACAGAGCGGAGGAATGTAAACACCAACAGAAAAATATTTAGTTCTCATCATTGCTTGTTTATTCCAAGTTCCTGTTCAGGTGGTTGTGATATCTGAAAAACTATTCCAATTCGCAGGAAAAATCTTCTAAGAACAGCACGAAGTTCAGGAATCAAGTCAAATTGCATAATTTCACATAGGAGAGGGTAGTAGAATGATGCATGAGCTTTAAACTGGGGGAGGAGAGAGTGTCTCCATTAGTACTGCTTGTATTACAAACCACAGATGCTAAACTTCCTTTAGGAGCTAGAGCAGCTGGGGAGGACCCTGATCG